GGGAGAAGGCGCTGTCCCCTGGGGCCTCCCCCTACCTTGCTGCAGCCGGTGCTGTGTCAGTGGTACAGCCTCAAGCAGGGGCTGTTCCTACACAGATTCTGCCAACAGACCACCTACCCAGGGGGCCTTCAGACAATTTCCAAAGCACCAAGTGAAGTCTACGTCAGGAAGGGGACAGAGCAGCATCTATCCACTCTAAGGGGCCTCCATCCTAAGGGCATCCCCGCTACGTCCCATATGCGGAGGCCAGCACTTGGGCTGGCAAGGGGCCTCCTGGATTTGTTCATTCCTAGCCCACTCTGAGGGCATAGGAGCAAACTGCTGCTATTTTTCATAGTTTGAACAAAGCTGGCATCAAAAGCCTCTTTAGCATCTTGGAGTGGAAAATCAACATATCTTCCTTTGGCTCATTATTAAATTAATTTCAGCCAAAAGAAGTTAATCCTGTGTCAAAGCCTTCAAGTCAGGGATTGCTCTCTACAACTTTAAACACTCAGCATTCATACATTTTGCACTCTGTGATTCCACTGGGTTTGGAATAGGGAAAAGAAGACGGGATATTCTATATGATCCTACACTCCCCTGGGGCAAACAGCCGCCAGGGTAACACAGTGAGAGAGAAAGAAAGAGGCCTCATGATGATCTGCAAAAACGAGTTACAAAACAAGAAACTTCAAGCCACCCCAACACTGCTCAGTGGAGTTGACTACAAACAACCATGGTTGCCTCCCAGTTAGACAAAGCAAAAGATGCCACCCTATGGAGGTGTTTGTTTAGAAAACGGAGAAGGGAAAAGAAAAAATGGTTCAAAGATGTGTTTCAGTTGCACCCGAGCCTGACCGAGAGCTCCCAGTGCAGTATCTAAATACAGAGCTGGGGGCTGAGAATGCTGCCCTACTCCAGTCAGCCCTGGCCCCCAATCCTGGGATGTGGCTCTTAAGTCTCAGAGGTCTAACCACAAGGTCAGAGGAGGAGCTCTTTAGGGACAAAAAGGTTTTCCTTCAGTCTCCTTTTAATTAAAAGCTGAGATCCAACCCAAATCAATCATGTTCCTACTGTTCCTTCCTGGGTCCTCAGCTGGCCTGGACAGGCTATGGTTTGCTTGGCACAGACCACGACCCTTTCCAAGTTGCCCCAAGGCCTTGGGACACTGTCAGATCCCTCCCACACAGCTGTGTAAGAAAGTAAGAGAATGTGACAGTTATGGGTGGTTATTGGTCACAAATCAAGTAGGGAAAAGCTTATGTACATAGGGCACTTCTTCCTTCCTTTCCCCTACCCAAAGTCCAATCTTTGTGCCTAAAGGTATCAATTTTAACACTGGTCCCTAGTACTACCCCTGCCTCAGAAAAGGCCGGGAAATGAAAAATTATGACCACAAAGTGTATCGGGTTCCTGTGGCATTAACCTCCTGAGCCCACCCTCCCCCATTCTAGGCGAGTTGAGGGGAAGCATACAGGGGCCCTAGGGAAGCAGGAAGATGTGGAATGTGGCTAGAAAGCCATGAGACAGAGATGAACCAGGAAAAATGTCTTGGATTAAGAGACCACACCAAGTCTGTAGACTCTCCCGCAGCCCTGCTGCCCTTCAGGAACACACCCCTCTCGCCTCCCCAACAGCTTCTTGGAAGAAAAAGAAACCATGCTCCTTGCTCCTCAGACTCTACAGTAACCCATGAGGCAGAATCTTCACTCCATACAAAAAAGGGGGGGAAAACCCAAGCAGGTTGTAAACTTTTCGAGTCCTTCATGAGGAGAGGTATTTTCCCTGTAAAATTTTTTTTTCCTTTTTAAAGTTTGTTTCAAAATAAAGAGAGCAAGAGAGAAGTCATGAATTCTAGTGAAAGGTGTGTAAAAACACAAGCTAAAAAAGGTACTGCCATCAATATGAAATTTAAAAAGAAATATATATATGTATATACGTGCAGCTAATTTGTTTATATATAATTTTTACATACATACATATATATGTCTGAACAGTGCAAATGGATGGAGTTCATAGTTCCAGTTTTAAAAATATAGTACAAGGATACTCTGTTGGTATGAGGCCCAGGTACAAGGACAAAGATACCTTTGGCGAGTTGGTTGGGCATATTTCTTTTCCTATCTTAACTCAGGTGACTCCTGGTGCTGACCAATCTGCTGTTTTCTACTGGCTCAATTCCAGAGACATGAAATTCAGAAGGATTATTATTAATATTTAGTTTAGGGCTTTTGAATATAATGACTTTTTTCCTTTTCCTCCTTTGTGTTAATGGTTACTCTGACACGGGAGACGAAGGGGGTAAGAGGATGAAGGTGGAGAAGGGAAAGACGTAGGGAAAGGCTAGGTGGCCACATCCCTCTGCTGTGACCTCGCCATCTGGAAAATGTTCTGAAAGAAAAAAAAGGAAAGAGTTATTGGGAAGCCTTAGGTGTCTGCATCTCCCATCTGGAGACAACCGTTCAAATATACGACTAGATGAATCGATCTGATTGGCCTCTTCCCCCAATATAACTTCCCATCTAGAATCACAGCCTTTTAGAGCTAAAAGGGACCTTGGCTATTAATTATCTGGCTTAGCCTTCCCGTTTTACACATGAGAAAGGATGAGAAAACTGGGCTCTAGGGAAACTGACTGGCTCGAAATCACAGAGAAAAAAAGTTGGGAGAGAATACAGATCTGGTGCCCAAAGCCCAACGTTCTTTCTACTATACCAAGAATATACATTTTCATGTCCCTGACTCTACTACTGAACCTCGGAAACATTTTCTGAGACAAAGTAGCTAATTACTCAGGATCTTCCTAATTCTGTTCCAGCACTGGCACACACACACACAACAGTAAAGCAGGAGCAAAGACCTGCCCACACATAGGCGTTCTTGGTTAGTTTGGACAGAGCGGCTAAAACTGAGGATAGCTGCCCTTCTGGGTCAGGAACAGTATGGAGAGTAATTTGATAAAAACAGGCAGAGGAGGGTCCATGAAGTCATGAGAGACGGGACAGCCTGCAGCCAATGGCCATCCTCCAGAGAAAGGAAGAAGCAGGGCTTTTTCCACAGCCTGTTCAGCATCCAAAGGCTAACAACCCTCTCTGGAAGAGTATCCTGGCTCACCTGGGATCACCAGCCTAACAGTCCCAGAAAAGTGAAGATGGAGGTAAGGGTCCCAGGTATTTGGCCATAGGCCTATACATTTTAAACAAATAAAGATGAAATAATCAATTCAAGACTGTTTAGAATTACCTCTTTTCTCCACTTGAGCTCACAGAACACCCTCTCGAAGCATTCATGCATGTAATTGAACTGAAAAAAGAACATAGCAACACTCACTGACTTCTCAGGACCAGGTACCACAGGGCCATGCCTTTGAACTTCTGCCCTCAGTCACCCCACCTTCCAAACTTGCTCAGCCTAGAGGAAAACCCTAACAAGGCCCACAGCCCAGGCCTGCCTGGCTCATCTACTATTCTCTGGCTCCTTCTAGTGGTAATTGAGAGTCAAGCGGGTGTGAAATTGCCAATCCTAGTGGGGCCCGTGGAAAGACAGGAAGAACCTGGGGCCCTAGAATTCACATAGGTTCAGACCTCAAGACCACTGCTCTCTCTACAGCTCTCTCCACTTACGCATTTAGTTTAAGGAGAACTTTAAGCCCCATCTACTTTCCCCAAGCACGCTTCCCCGTCACCACTCACATATGGTGTGAAGATTTTAACCCATCGAGGCTTCTTCTCTCCTCGTGCATATTCAAAACAGAAGGCCATTCCTTCTTCATCTGTATCCCATCGCTGCATCTCATCCCATTCAAATGCTATTACCTGGTTCTAAACAACCAAGACCAAGAGTGTAAGTGTGAGAATGCTGGGGAGCTTAGTAAGACAGTTCTGAGCCAGGCAGCAGAAAGAAATGAGTGGAGAAGTGTGCATCACTTCAGGGAGAAGAAGACAGGAGACTAAGTCAGTGTAACACGTGAAGGTGAGGATCAGTGCGAATCCAGCGCCTATTTATCTACCCCAGTCAAAACAGTTTTGACATCATTCCACCACCACCACCCAGAAGGAACTAAAACATAGCAAGTGGGTATCAGAGTACCACCAGCACTCGCAGGCCCGGCCCCATGCTGAACTCTCACCTCCAGCTGTCCTTCTTCAGTGCAAGCATGAAGTTTAAAGTGCGTGATGCTGATGGCTGTGATAACGTGCCCCTTCCTCCTAGAGTCACAGGCACAGTGGGGAAAGATGATTTCATTGTAGCCCTCACAAGTTCTTAGCATATTGAGGTACTAGAAAGAAAAAGGAAGGGAAAACAGTGTTACTATGGAACTAAACCACCATGAAGAGCTGCTGAGATGGCACAGGGACAAAGAGGATCCTCTCACCCAAAGACCCGAAGACCTTGCCTCTGGTCTCACGCCCATCCCTGTTGGGACAGGACTCCAAGACGATCCTTTATCCCACTTCCAACCTCCAACCTTTCTCTACTTAAAAAAACATACATAAATGAAGCCAGAAGAGACACTCTAACCAAAACTGCTAGGACTAGAAGAAAACTCACAATGCCACTCCAACCCTCTATTTATCCCTCCACACTGAGAAATGTAGTCCTTGAAAACAAAGGAGCTTCAGGGGACTTCCTAATAGCATAGTTCTAAAAACAACCTGAGTGAAAACTAAGGGCAGCTGTGGCCTTCGTGAGACGACAGGAGTAAAGTTTCACTCGGGAACTTAAGGTTTTCAAGATTCTCGAGTCAGGTAGCATTTCTCAACTGTAAGCAGGCAATCTCTACATTCCTGGACTTGCACAAAGCATAAAGAGAAGAAACATTTAAAGTTTTATATACATCCAAAATTTCCAAAAGAAAAGTCAATTTTTGTTTTCAAACAGATTTACATAAAGGTGTAGCTATATATTTAAAATACAAAATTTTCCTGTCCATTCTCTTTTCATATTAAATTTTGAGTAGTTAAATGTCTCCTAAATTACCTTCCTTGACTCACATACATTCAGATGATGGCCCAAATTAGACCAGAGGAAAGGTGTAGCACAGGACATTTTGTGAATGTTCAATATTTAGCAAGGTAAGTAAATACAGAAACAGGACACATTAAAGTAGAGACTCAGTACTTAACATAGCAGAACACTTTAGGTGAGTGGGTTGAGGTCCATTCTGAAGAACTCTCTGTCCTCCCAAACAACCTGCCAAGGGTCAAACCAGGTCTAAAATTGAAGTGCTTGAGAGGAACCTTGGGAGCCAACTCTCTCAAACCCCTAGAGTAGCGATTCTGAACAACTTAAGATTCAGAATCACCAAGGTGCTTCTGTAAAAATCATAACAAAACTTCCTAGATTCTACCCACAGAGATTCTGAGTTAAAAAATGTGAGATGGGGTCCAGCTATCTGCATTGTGAGCAGCCTTCACAAGTGATTCCCATGAAACTAACCTGGGGACCACACTTTGAGAAACACTTACTTTCACATTTACTGCCTTGTGTGAAATCACTAAAAATCACATTGAGAAACACTAACAGAAATTTCTTATTTGTCAGTTCAACAATGGCAAAGTCAGGCTACTCCAACATAAGAAAAACTTAAGTTCCAAATGTCTGCTGTTTGTGTGTGAGTAAAAAAAGAAAAGAAAAAATCTCTCTTGTACATTACATTCTCAACCATCCAAATTTGAGATTCAATCTAATTTTGTAAGTAGGAAACAAAACATTTTGCTCACACTGGATCTTACATACTCTGGCAAAGATATGAGGTATTCTGTGTATTTGGAGAACAGGGAAACCTACACAACACTCATTTATCTACCAAGAACTCTGGAGCATTTTCTTAAGATTCTACTCGATAGCTGGCAATCCGAACATCCCATTTTATACAAAAGAAACTAGAACTGAGAAGTCTGTTAACTGTTGAAGTTTTCACAGTGATTTGGCAACTAATCGTAGTGATTTGACCTATCTTCGGCCTTGATATCAAGCATACTAAGTTACTACAGATAGTGGTATCAAGGCCTATGGGTTCTGAAGAGTCCATATGAGTTCAAAGTTTCAATGTACTGACCATGACCACTGACTAAGCTAATGTCTTTGAACACTACTACATGAAATTATACTTAAATAAAATTTAAACTTCAGTAGTATTTTCTTTAAAATTTGATTGTAGTATTATGGGGCTAGTATACAACTATATGTTGGTAGTAGGTTTTCAAGACAACTAAATTCCATAAATGTTTAAGCATATTTTATATTCAATTCCAATGACCCATGGGAAAACACATCAATGTACCAACTGCACTCGGGTTCTTAACTGAAAGGTTGGTGCTGTGTGGTACACCAGTAGGCAATATAGCAATCTCAGATGGTGAGTAAAAAAAAAATTAAATTCATTAAAAGGGGATTGGGATATCAAAAGGGAAGGGCTACATGGCACTGAGCCAAAGGGTATTGGTTGCATGATGGCAGCAAAAATATACTTAGGACGGTGAAACAAGGAAGGTGCATAGAAGCTGCAACAAGAGAGCCCAGGCTGGGCTGCTTTGGCTCCCTGAGAAATTGGAGTGAGAAGGGGCCTTGGAGACAAGTTCAGGGGGTGAGCCACTTCCCATTGCTCCCCTGGTTGCAAGTCTTGTGGGGTCCCCTCGGAGGGATGGAGATGGCGCTGGCCTGCTCCCTTGAAGCACCCCTGGGTCCTTTGTCCTGAGCGTATTTATCTCTTTCATGCAGGAAATCTTAGGGGAGGTCTCAGGGGAGTGCCTCAATAGAATATTCATCAGCTTTCTAGGTGTGTTCTTTCTGGGGTCGTGATCTCCACTGATTAGTTGGTGCCAGGAAACGAGGTTATTAGTCAATATATCTGGTCCTGAGTCAGCCACGGGGCCACTTGTGCTGCTTGGTTTGCTGCTTATCTGGGCCTGGAGCTGAAATACAACTGAGACCTAGATGTTATCTTTAGGGAGGAATGCTCAGGGAGGCTAAACCACACAGCCAGTGATGCTAGGAGAGGGTAGATTACCCTGAGGACAAGGTTCTTGTTTTCCCAGTTTCGTCCCTTGCTAGGCACCTGGAGCTTCCTGCCCCACTGAGTTTCTGTACCCTAGCTTCTATACCTAGGTTTCTATACCTGGCCCATCTAACAACTACAAAATACAAACTTGAGTTTGAAAATTATTTCATAATAGATTATTATGCTTATTAAATTCAGATTTTCTATATTTTGCCACAGAACAACTCAAGCCTATTTATTTATCTAGCACCTCATACTGTGCCTAGCACACACTTGGTGCTCAACGAATACTTTTGGTTAAATGCATAAGTGGAAGACAGTGTGTTTGAAAACAGTATTTACTCCATACTGGTATTATCTGAGACCCTTATGAAACTACTTTAATTCTGCTGGCTTTGGAAAAAACAAAGAATTATTGCAAAGGTTGACAGTCCTTTAGTATTTGGCCCTTTTCACCAAAAAAGGTGCAGATGTGGCCAGAATCATGCGTTAATATGTAACAGACAATGCCATTATCTTAAAGAATAGGAAGCTGAGTTTTAAAATCCTGCCACCTACATATTAAAATTACCTTAAGCAAAATTCTGCAAATTAATAGACTGAATTCTATTTAAAATATTTTTTGTGGTCTATTTCAGTCTGTTGGTATGCAGAAAATTCGTAGATGGCTTGTTGATCTTTGGAAATTTATTTTTCATCATATAAGTGAGAGAAAATAACTATCCCAGCTAGACATAAGATTACGGGCTAAATTTGATGGCTAATTTGTATATTCTTGTTCTAACCCAACTAACTCAGATGGATGAACATTCCTTCATAAAAAGTGCACAGAAAGTACAAAGAAATTCAAGTGATCTATAAGAATCATTACAATGCAATTACTGCCTTGTGTGAAATCATGAAAAATTATAATTGGAAAAATTTCAACTATATGTGCATTTGCCAAGAAAGAAATTTTAAAATTCTACAGGTGGAAGTTTTGCAAGTGTTACTTACAAATTTTATTTTTGACAATTTCAGTCCTTGTATTTACAGCAGATACAAATTGAAAACTAATTTTAAAATATTTAAGAAATATTCTAGGCAGTCCTCTCCAACAGAACTTTCTGTGATGATAAAGATAGCCTATATCTGAGCTGTCCAATACATAGCTACTAGCCACATGTGGCTACTCGACACTTGAAATGCGGCTAATGCATCTGAGGAACTGAATTTTAAATTTTATTTAATTTAAATAGAGTTAAATTTAAATAGCCACATGAGGCTAGCAGCCATCAAATTGAACAGTACAGCTCTAGGATATGATACTAAGCAAAAACACTACTGAGCATAAATGTTTAAGCAACTGCAGAGATCAAAGTTGTAAAAACAAATAATCTTACAACCACTAAATCATAACTAAAATAATTTCTAATGAAAAAAGCCTAGTATCAATTCCTATAGAATCTTACCCTTATCATATTAAATGTTTTGCTTATCTTTGTTTTAGGCTTTTTCTATCAAAAAGAATTCCATTTGGTTATTATTTATAATAAAGTTATATATCTATCAATAACAAAAGAAGCTCTTTGTGTGCTTAATGGAGGAACACAATGGACTTTACATCAAGGTCTATATTCCCCTTCTTTTTTTAAATAGTTAAGCCACAGACCAGGTTGCAACATCTTTCAGGAATGACTGGAAGAACAAGTTTAAGAGATAAGAAGAGGCATTTTATAAAGAGATTATGGGGACACAAACCTACCATGACCATTTTTCTTTGTTCATACAGCTTCTGTAATTGGTAAGACTTTTCCTCTGCTTTGATGTAACCTTTTTTCACATCATCTACAGCCTGGCACCAAAACAAAGGCAGGGAAGAAAGAAATGTAAAAATCATTATCAAGTACATTCTTGATAAAAATAGAGACAGATTCATTTTCAGAATAACTCTTAAGTATGTGGAACATCACATCTCTGGTGCTCTCTGCCACATGGATGTATTTACTGGAATAAGCAGCGTGTAAGGAGTGTCTGGTATGTACTCAAGGGCTGTTCTAGGCATGTGAGGAATCTGGTTTCACATGTTAAAGGGATTTAAATTCCGGTTAATTTCTATATATGAAACAATCAGAGAACACTAAAAGACAGCATATAACACTGTATTAAAGGTAACAATGACGTAGCAAAATGTGTGGTATGGAGAGTTAAGACACATGCAATGAGGACATGAGAGCTTACTGCTAAGTGCAGTTATCAAGGAAGTCTTGGTTGCACCCGAAAGGGTAAGTTGGCTAGAAGAAACTGCTAGCTGAAGTCAGGAAACAGGAATGGGTTTGAGCTTAAATACATTTAGGAGATAGATTTGCCTGATTTGAATAAAGGGTACATGTTAAGGGACAATGAAAGATAATGCTAGAGGGGTAGGTTAACAGATTAGGAAGGACTCTAAAAAGCACCCACAGGAATTTAGACTTAAGGACAATAGGGAGCTAAAATAAGCAATGAAAACTTTTTTGAAAGAAAGATTGATCTGCCTATGAGTGTCAAATGAATTGAGAGAATAAGAGACACCAACGATGTTGTCACACTTTAAGTACAAAATGAAACAAGAGCTTAAACTAGGGGAGCAGCAACTGGCAGAGAAAGTGATAAATCTGAGACCATGAACAAAAAAAATCCCCAATAGGGCTTGAAAGAGGCATGAAGGTACCTAAATATAATATGTTCATTCTAAACAACTCCTGGTTCAGCTAAATGAAATATGCACCCCCTTCCAAACCTCACTCTACCCCAAGAAAACATTTAAAATCTAATGGAGGGGAAAACTGATCATTGGGAGAAAAACAACAACAAATAGGGCATTTGCCTAGGGCATTCAGAATCTAACCTCAGGGAGTTGCTGCAAGGACAACTCTACACTGGCATCCTCTTGAGCTCTTATCAGAAGACTGCCAGCTTCCTTAAGGTAGAAATCATTCCCCATAGTCTTTTAAGGGAAAATAACTTGTGCAACAGAATGAGTTCAGGATTGAAGTCGAAAGGATAGTTCAACTTCTAGGTGTGTCACTGACCAATATGCACTTGAGTAAGTCACTTAAAACCTCTCAGTTTGTAAAATAGGGATAATACCCATCTCACAGGCAGACAACAAAGTGAGACAACAGATGTTGAGTTTCATAAAGTATAGATAAACAGTTACTATTATCATTGCTATTAGCATCATTTGGCTGTTAAGTTCCAAGAACCACACACAGATATTAACGTCCTGCCTGGGACCGCCTAATGGGAAGATTATGCCCATTCCTCCCCAGTCCTAGCCATACAAACGAGGGCTCACTTAAGCACAGGGGATCATGGTCACAGAGCAGATGCTCAGTAAGAACGGCCACATGGTGTCCTGAAGAACCTGAACACTTGTATTTTTTATCACCAAAAGACTTGACTGCTCTAGGCCAAATTCAACCAATTACTGGGAAGCTGGGAGAGAAGATGGGTGGAAAAACCAATAAGTACTGGTCTATTTCACTTCCCATGTAACAAGGTGTTATTTAGCTAAGAGAAAAGGCTTTTCTGGTGACCAAATAAAAATATTGTATTTGTTTTATTCGTATCCCCAATACCTAGACCTGTGTCTGACTTGGAACAGCACTTAAATATTTGAACACTTTCCCAGGGCAGAAGAGGGTCAGAGTTCATATGGGGCAGTAAAAATGTTCTCACCTCTCCTCTCTCATTTCTGATAAAGATTATATTGCTTGCCTGGCTAGGTGTGGCTCAGCGGCTGAGCATCAAACTAGGGTCCAGGAGACTGCAGTCTGATTCCGGGTCAGGGCACATGCTGGGGGTGCAGGCTCGATCCCCGGTAGGGGGCGTGCAGGGGGCAGCCAACCAATGACTTTCATCATTGATGTTTCTCTCTCTCTCTCCCCCTTCCTCTCTCTGAAATCAATAAAGATATTTTTTTTTTATTTTTTTTAAAGATTATATTGCTTGAGGGCATAGAGGAGATAAATGGCAATGGAAAAAAAAAGATTACATTGTTTGACTAGCCCATGTGACTCTCACCAATTCTTCCACAATTACCAAACACCAAACTCCTCTCAATTCATGCAAACATTCATTTTGTAAAAACTGTTGACAGTTCTCATCTGCTACTGTCTCCTCCCCTGTCCTTTGTCCTGGCAGGTTTATGCCTTTAAAATTCCATTACTATTATTTTAGGAAGGAGTAGCTTAAATGTGTGTTCAATCTGCTATAGTTAGCCAGAATTTAAATACATCCTACCATGAATTTCAACCTTATTAATATGTTTAAGGAAAAGGCTCATTATCATTACCTAATATTTCATCAACTCTAAGATGCACATTTTTAAATATTTTATCAATCCTAAAATGGGGATGCATCTTACAATCAATGATGTATCAGTTTAATGGTAGCTCTTTTCTCTGTCTTAGCAGTACATAAAATAATAGTGCATCTTACAATCAATGGCATCTTGGAATTGGTGAAATACATTAGATATTCCCACCATCAAAATATGATACAAAAAAATAAAATTAAGTAGGAAAACATTTACTATTATTTTCCAAATGGCACAAATGTTTACCTAGTCAAGCAAAAAATCATTTGAACCCATCTGCCCTGTTGGGAATATAAAATAGTGTAGCCGCTATGGAAAACAGTATTGCAGTTCCTCAAAAATTATAAACAGAATTACCATATGATCCAGTAATCCCAATTCTGGGTATATTAAAAGCAGGATTTTGAAGAGATATACACACACCCATGTTCATAATAGCATTATTCATAATAGCCAAGAAGTAGGAAAAAACCAATGTCCATCCACAGATGACTAGATAAACAAAAGAAGACATATACATACAATGAAATATTATTATTTTGCCTTAAAAAGGAAGGAAATTCTGTCCACTGCTATTACATGAATGAGGACATTATGATAAGTGAAATAAGCCAGTTACAAAAAGACAAATACTATACTGTATGAGTCCACTTATATGATCAGGAAACAGATCTTAGCAAAGCTATGCTAAGAATATAACCTATACTTGAACCAGATATTCTGACTTCTAGCTAATTTTCTCATTCCAACAATACAAGGCTCTACTATAAATTCATTATTTATAGTCATAATAATATGAACACTGAACACTGATTAAATAAATATTATAATGTGCCTATATTAGGGAGATGGGAGAGAGGAAAAGATATGGGTATTAGTAAGAATGGGGAATAAAATGCAGCTAGAGTCTCATCTTTTAGTGGGAAATGAAGAGATATTATCTGAATCTGAAAAATCAAGTAGGAGCAATATAACTAAGTTATAACAGAGACATGGTAGTAAATATAAAACAAAATAACAAAGCTAAAAAAGTCATTGCCTTTGTGGAGAGATGAAGATAAGTGGGGGTAACTAATATTTTTTGTAATAACCTGTGTATAACTATATGATGCTTTAAACTCTATGAATGTGTAATTTTGGGAAAAAAATTTTTGAAAAGGTACATAGCCATAATGCTCATTTTCTGTTGTTTAAATAAATATTGTAAATTCCAGGACATCTTCACTTCTTAAACTTATTTATCTTTTGTGAAATGGGATAACACATTTCACAAATTTAATTAAGATTCGGGGGGAAAGCAGGTTACCCAAGGATCCACATTGAATTGGCAAATTATCCACTCCATATAAAAAGACAAAAATAAAATAAAAAATCAGGCCTTTCCAGGAGGATCAATTCACCCACCTGATGAAAGAAGTAGGTAACAGCAAGGTCATTGTCATTTAAGAGAATTTCTTCTTCTGTTGTAAAAAGCCACTTTCGAATGGTCAGGCAGGTGCCTGGCACAGCTGATGTGTAATTCTGGACGTAGAGTTTATGAGGAAATTCATTAGGTGCCAGCTTACGTACTAAAGAGAAAACAAAACAAAGAAAGCTACAGTGAAAAGATATATAAGGGATTTCCCTAGTATAAACTGCAGATAAAGTACAAACAGGCGATCAAGATGGCAGATTATCATTAACCAGAACATCGGCTTTACGGCCATCAGGGAGCTCTGCCTCAGGATGACAAAATAACCCTTTGTCTAGCCAAATCTATCCCTTCTAACTATGACTACTGCCAGTCAGGCCTCTAACTAACTAAACTCTATCACCTGAATGACATGCCATTCAGTTAACATGCCAACTCTGCAGACAGCACCTACTACAAAGTCAATTATCTGGTAAGTTACAGTGATGTCCACTGAACATCTTTAAAGCAAGCCTCTCCTCTTACCTAGCTATGGTGCATTCATTCAGAGTCTCTCACATGGCAATTCTCAGTGAACTGCTTTTATTGTTAAGAGTTGAAAGGCTCTCCCTACCCCACCCCCCAACTCTAAGACATTCATCAAAGTGAAAAGTGTCTTCAGAGTAAAGTTACTTCCTCTTTCTAACAAAGCAGGATAAAACACTACCACTTTTAATTTCTATATTGATTTTCTCGGGAAAGGCTCAGTTTTCTTCTCTTGATGTTTACTTGGCTTTATAACACTGCAAGAGACAGGTTTAATATTTCCCATTTTATTTATTAACTAAAGCTTAGAAAAGAAGGACAAGATTAGAATCCAAGTGTCCTGGGTCCCTAGCAATCCTTCGTAACATTTCTATCTGCCTAGGTAGACTGCAGGGAATTAGCAAGATAAAGAATAATAGGGACTTGGCCACTTCAGGGGGCATCAAAGTTATCTACACTGACCTGGAACAGCAAGGCAACCCAAGTCTGCCAACTCTGGGATAAGGAAGAGCTGATCAATCAATAAATATTATGTCATCTCTGGCCTTAGCCGTGTGTGTGTGTGTGTGTGTGTGTGTGTGTGTGTGTGTGTGTGGAAAAGACCCATAAACTATAGGAAATAAACTATGAGGAAATCTATGTCACTAAGGGCAAGCACTGACTTCCTCCCCTTTGTGGTGTCAACGCAACCAGTGTGACCAACATCCCTAACTGTTATAAAATAATATATAAGACAAGCTTCCTGTCATGATGTAATAAAACTTCCTAGGAAGAGGATTATCTATTTACAAAGAAACTTAAAGATATGCATTAAAGCAATGGCTTTTAATCAATTTATCTCTAACTCCTGAAAACAAAAAGCTGTTCTTAAAAATCTACAAGAAGCATAAAGTACACTAGAACAGGCTGTCACTAAATAGAGCATTCCTTCTTTTTAAGGCTGTTTCATTGGACTATATTAATTTTGAACCTCTGATTTAAAAGAAACTCATGAAAGTATCCGCTTCGGCCCTGGGGGCACGCACCTTATGCTTACGAAAGAGGAAAACGCACCAACAGTGAGCAGATACCCTCTGACTTGGACTTAATGGGATGTGCCTGGTCTGCTTGTTGGAGACTGTCCTAATAAACAGAATCTCCCTGGTCTGCCAGCTCTTCTTCTCTAGGCAAAGAGTTTCAGTCTGACAATATGAGGATAAAATATCCCCAAACAAAACTTAATATTAACCACTGGCACTTACCAAAGGAATGGTTGATCACTTCAAATAAGGCAAAGTAATTCACTGTTGTACTGTCCATGCCAACCTTCGCTGCAATAGCCTAAAGTGTAAACAGGATAGATTAGTTTCCAGAAAACTAAGTCAGACAATGCTATGAAGACAGATGTATCCATGTTAGGGGGAAGAGAGGTTCTGCCACTTTGGTTTCACATAAACTAAATTCATGATCTATAGCTATTCTTCTTTGTATGTATGTGTACATGCACATGCACATAAGTATGTATGAAATTAAAGGAAAAAATTACCTGTATTTGACCCAAAAAGCTATGATCTCTAAGTATGAGTTTACCTCCTCTAATTTAAGCTGGTAATAGTTTCTCCTTAAATATCAGCTTTCCTCTCTGAAATATCACATCAGCCCACAAGGGTCTTTTTTAACAGCACTTACAAGAAATGTGCTAGATAAGAACAGATCTTAAGAAAAAAGTAAATTCTTAACTATCCAGTCTCATACATTCAGCCTACATTTAATATAAGCTATTAACATACAAAATCTATATCTCTGGTTCTTGAGTGTATCTATTCATCTATTTTGTTCACGCTTCACAAATTATTCTTGCTCATTTTTCAGATGATTCATGTCTCGGGCTGGAGACCTCCATTTCCTAAGAATCACCATCATCAGCTTTGGCCAGGTTGCTCAGTGGTTAGACATGAAATTTGCTTTAAAATATTCAAGCAAAGGGGGGAAAGGATATATAGTGCAAATGTAGAAGACTCTTGATGACTACTGAGTGAACAGACAGAGGTTCATTGTACTATACTGCTTTCATATACGTTTTTAAAGTTTTGGACAATTAAAAGGGGAGAGGGGGCTAATCAGAACCACTACTACCTGGGATATTTATTTCAAGGAAGACAAATTAAATTCATATTAACTCTTCTTTCTTTCAAGGAAGACAAATTAATTTCACATTAACAATACTAACATCAACAACAGTAGCTAACATTTAATAAACTTTTGTGCCAGATGCCCCAAGCACTTTATATGTATTAACTCATTTATCCATCTTCCTTAGCTCTGAACCATTCAATGTCAAGTCTACTTGCTCAAGTTTACTTTACCTGATATACTTGGTCTGTAGTACTGTTCTTTTTAACTCTGACTGTAACTGTTGTTCCATCTGGTAATGCTACTCTCAGCTCTACGTCAGAAACACCATTGTAGTTCTGGGGAGAAAGACACAGAAAAAAAATTTATATCTTCATTCTCTTTGTAACATGCTGGCTAAACAACAACCTAAATGTGATAGAAAGTGAGTCCCAAGGAAAAGGGGAGAAAAGACACCTTGTAAGTCAACACACAAGTCATTAAGCCAACTTTACAGTGCAGCAGAAGTTAACCTTTAAGATGAATGGGGGGGAAAGAAATGGAGCCAACATGTTCACGTTTTAAAACAGAAAACTTATGTGAAACAGACTAGGTCAAACACAGAGGAGATTTTTCGTTTATTTTTAAACATTCAGAACTCAAAAATAAGAAAAGACAACTGAAAGCAGTAGTTTCAATGAATATTCTCTGGTTTTATATGGTTAGGCATGTTAGATTGGCTCAAGGAGTATAATAAATTCCTTTCTGAATGCTGAAATAATCACGACACCTTTGAAAGGAAAAATGGATGAAACTCAGGAATATGAGTTAGTCAGATGCCCAATTTTCTTCTACCAAAGAATAAACAATACTTATCCTCCTTAATTCAAAGAAATAATTCACTCTCATTGCTTTTCATGATTAACACATTCCTCTAACAGATTTCTGACCTTGTAATTTTTATTAGAGAGAACCAACTATTTAAGAACAAGTCCATCTTCATTTACTACTTTAAAAAAAACTACTATTCAGGTCTGGCCAGCATGGTTTGGTGAGTAGAGAGTTGGCCCATACAACAAAAGGTGTCAGGTTCGATTCCCAGTCAAGGGCACGTACCTGGGTTGCAGGTTTGATCCCTGGCCCTGGTCCAGGCACATGCGGTAGGCAACCAATTGATGTGTTTCACACATCAATGTTTCTTTCTCTCCCCACTTCCTCCCTCTCCTCCTCCCTTCCACCCTCTCTGAAAATCAGTGGAGAAAATATCCTTGGGCGAAGAGTAACAAGAACAAAAAAGTACTATTCATTGCCTAAAATCATCCTAAACATTACTTTGTTATAAGCCCTTGTCTGCAATAAACTTATAATCTAGTTGGGGAAATAAGACATATACATATAAAATAATCAGTGGATAACACACTATTTAATACAGTGGCATTACATATTCATTTTCCTATCAGTTAATATTTATCAGGCACCTACAACGTGCTCGATACTGTGATAAGACGCTGGGAATGTAACAATGATCGAGCTTTAACTCTTGCTCTGGAGGTCTCTTGTACAGTATGGTGACCACAGTTAACAAATACTGTATATTGTATACTGAAATTTGCTAGGAGGGTAGATCTTAAGTGCTCTCACCACAAAAGAAAGGAATGAGCAAACAGATGATAAATATGCTAATTAGCCTGATTGTGGTGATCATCACAATGTACATCAAAATATCAAGTTGTACATCTCAAATATATACAATTCCTATTTGTCAGTTATACCTCAATAAAGCTAAAAAAAGATTTAGCTCTAACCTATAGGTAGTCACACTAAAAATATAAAGTAATTATCTGATTATATATAAAAAATTAGAGAATGAGATACCAACAAGGTGATAATTAAGTGGCACTGACTGCAAAAGTTCACAGTAGAATGAAAAATCAATGACTTGAATAACAGAAGGCTTCAAAGAGAAGGTGGACCTCGCACTAGGTCTTGAAGGATAAGTAGGACACATAAAAAAAGACTGGAAAAATAGACATTTGCCATAATCAATATCTTTCATTTATTTTCCCCCACAATGAGCCAAAAGGGAAACAGTCACTGTAGGGGCAGTCACTTACCTCGTCTGATTCGGACAGGAATTCCTGCATGATGTCACTCTCACCAATGACTCGTATTGAGCATACTGTTGAAAACAAAGATAGAATCTGACATAAGGCTCTAAAAATCAAGAATATAAAGTCAACTACACATCAAGGTTCAAGCGTAAATCATTAGTGCCAGGCAATGCTGAGGTAGTATGTCATCCCTAACATATGATATTTTAAGACACAAGAAATAGTCATGTAAGTATGAACTAGAACAGACGAGTAATAGAATGTACAAAAATGTAGCTCGCTAAAAATATTAAACATAGCCAAAGAAAGTCACTCCCAAAAAAGAGAAATAAAAGTTAGGTAAATCTAACTTTGTAGTCTTATGTGAACTATTAACAAGCCAGACAACAGAGCAAGGGTAAGGTCACTTAGAAATAAACCAAACACAAAATTGAAATACAAAAGGAAAAATATCTACTTGGCCTAGGAACAGGCCTACGAGAGAACCATAAACATTTAAAGCCATTTGAGGGGAAATGGGTAGATAATAAAGTATTAAGCTGAGCACATCTTTTTTTTTTCTTTTTTTTAAAAAATATATCTTTATTGATTTCAGAGAGAGGAAAGGAGAGGGAGAGAGAGATAGAAACATCAATGATGAGAGAGTCATTGATCAGCTGCAGCCCGCAACCCGGGCATGTGCCCTGACCGGGAATCAAACCCTGATTGCCTGGATCCTAGGTCAACACTTAACCACTGAGCCACGCCCAGCCGGGCTGAGCACATCTTTTCACCTCACTAATTTGAGCTTCAAAACAACAACAATAAAAAGGAAGGAGGGAAGGAAGAAGGAAAGCAGGGAGGTGGGCAGCTAATGGTCAAAATCTAAGAAAGTTAATTTCCTGACATTCTCATGAGGATGGCAAATTACAATGATGATTTTATTTCAAAAAACTGTACCATTTCTCATTTCCCAAGGGCTGTGTTTAGAGGCCATTCCATGTTAGAAAAAAACTAAAAACGAATGAGGAGGTTTCACTACTTCTACAGGGGAAATAATTTTTCTTCAGGGATAAAGCTCTCTACCAAAGTTTAAAAGAAAATTCAACTAGGTCAATTAGTTCTTACATAAGGACACAGAATTACTAAATACCACTAAGACCATTATTCTATTACGTTAGTACTTTAAAGAAAAGCTTATTGCTCAGTTGGCAAGTATGTTAACTCTATAATGCATCGAAGCAAGGTCTCTTTTCTGAGCCACAAAATGAACTATTTTTTCAAGAGATGTGTCCTTTGCCCCAACTTTCTAGATAAATGCTTCAGCATCTACATCCACAAATTCCTTTTGTACCATTTGGAAGTCCTGAGATAACAAGTAAGTTTCAATACTTCTACCTATAACCTGCTTAGAACAAAGGGACGTTAGATTACCTACAACTCAGCAAACTATCATGGACACATGTAAGAGGAATGAGGAATTTTCAAGAAGGATATGCCAAGGATACTGTCCACTTAGTTCCCAAATCAATTCAGCATGTTACTGAGTCCGTCTATACATGTTTACTGGCAAATAATATAACCCTATAAATCAGGGGTGGGGAATGTCCGGCTGGCAGGCCTTATATGGCCTGTGAATGATGCTATAAATATCCAAATGGCCCTCGGCAGAAAAAGGGTTCCCCACTCCTACTATAAATTAAGGTCCTTAATGCATAAAAACTAATTATGCATTTTTCTGTTGTTGTTATGTGTTCAGGGAGTCAATAAAATAGGCTATTAATCACTGTACTGGAATTTCAGTCTTGGCTTCAAAGCTCAGATCATTCAACACCTATAGTCAGAAACTTGACTTACTTTCACTACTGCGTTTAATGGAATTTAGCTATGCAGCTTAGGAATTGCAACGTATGCCTAGACCCTATGTCTGTTCAAGATAGTAGAGTTTAATAGGCCAGCTTACCTTTTTCTAGATACTCTTCCAACCCTCGTCGTCGGGCATCTAATTGCTGTTCTGATAAAGAGAACGGCCACTTCCCTGGAAGCCGGGGAAATGTGAAGTTGGCAAACTCTCTTTTCAGGTTCTGGTGCAGGATGGCAAACTCCCGGTACCGCTTAGCACACAGCTGCCTTCCTGCCATGTAAACATTGTACACCTGGTGAGGGGAAGGACAAAAAAGCCTGTTTACTACAAATTAAATCACAGAATCATCAAAAATCAGGCTCACCTAACAGAGAATATGTTCAAGGTCACTGTAAAATTAAGACTTACTTTTAATAAACATGCCAGAAATTATCTGTACAAAAGACTCCCCTTCAAAGGGGCCATGATCTTATTTTTGCTATTTTTTTTTTTAATATATCTTTATTGATTTCAGAGAGAGGAAGGGAGAGGGAGAGAGAGAAACATCAGTGATGAGAATCACTGATCAGCTGCCTCCTGCACGCTCCCTTCTGGGGATGGAGCCCACAACCCCGGCATGTGCCCTGACCAGGAATCGAACTGCGATCTTCTGGATCCTAGGTCGATGCTCAACCGCTGAGCCATGCCTACCTGGGCTATTTTTGCTCTTAAAATTACCTCCAACAAACACTGTTTTAAATATCTTCACAGACAATTATCAGCTTTAAGGGTAGATTTTACTTTCAGAAAGTTATAAGTCATTCGAAGCCAACGTGGTAAATACTGTGAATGAACAAGCACGTGAATTTGGAGGGAGATGTAAAAAGCTAGGGTTAATTTTAAAGTAATGCCACTGATACTGTTGTGTGTGCCCCAAACTTCAAAAGAAAAGATCTAAAGATGATGTAAGCAATAGTGTTTTTAATTATCAAATTGATTTTTGCAAAAACTCCTTTCCTGAAGTCAGATATACCTAGTTTTGTTCCTCTCCCTTCCATCACTAAAACAGGGTTAACATAAAAAGTATGAGAACAGCAGCACAAAAAACAGGAGGAGGAAATGAAATATACTGTTGCAAAATTATTATACTATAAAGGTAACACTTATAAATTAAAGATATATACTGTAAACCTAGAACAACCACTAGTAAATTAAAACAACAAAGCATATCTAATAATACAATAGTGGAGATAAAATGAAGTCATGAAAAAATGCCCTATTAATCAAAAGAGAAGGTGGGAAAGGGGGAACAAAGGGGAAAAAATCAGATGAGACATAGATAACAAAGAATAAGATAATAGATTTAAACCTAACTATCAATAATTATATCAAATGTAAGTATACATTTAGTATACAGACACCAAATAAAAGACTGTATAAAAGACATAACTAAATGCTATCTCTCAGAAACCCAATTTAAATGTAACTATACAGATAGGTTAAAAGTAAAAGGACTGGAAAGATATCCAATGAAAATAATCATCAAAAGAAAGCTGAAGGATATCAAGATGGCAGTGCAGTATGGGGATCTTGCTCGAAACACCTCCTGGAACCAAACTGGAAGCTACAGCTAAAATGGGGAAGAACCACCCTGAAATACTAACAGGAGACTATCTGAAGAGGAGACTTTTAACCAAGGACTGCAGAAGCAGCAATGTTCACAAATCAATAAACGTGATACGTCACATAAACAAATGAAGGATAAAAATCACGTGATCATTATCAACAGACGCAGAAAAGGCATTTGACAAAACCCAGCACCCATTTCTGATAAGGACTGTCAGCAAAGTACACACAAAGGGATCATACCTCAACATAATAAAGGCCCTGTAGGAAAATCTATAGCCAACATCATACTCAATGGTTAAAAACTAAAAGTGTTTCCCTTAAGATCAGGAACAACACAGGGGTGTCCACTTTCACCACTCTCAGTGAACACGGTGCTGGAAGTCCTAGCCACAGCGATCAGACAAGGAGAAGAAATAAAAGGCATCTAAATTGGAAAGGAGGAAGCAAAACTGTCATTATTCACAGATGACATATTGTACACAGAAAACCCTAAAGACCACCAAAAAACTACTAGGTTTAATAAACGAATCAGCAATGTAGCAGGATACAAAATTAACACCCAGAAATCGATAGCATTTTTATACACCAATAATGAACTCTCAGAAAGAGAAGCTAAAAAACAACCCCATTTACCATTTCAACAAAAAAGTTAAGATACTTAGGAATAAACTTAACCAAGGATGCGAAAGACCTGTACTCGGAAAACTACAGGACATTAAAAAAAGAGAGAGAAGAAGACATAAACAAGTGGAAGAATATACAGTGTTCATGGATTGGTAGAATTAACATCATTAAAATGTCCATACTACCTAAAGTAATCTACAGATTCAGTGCAATTCCTACTAAAATACCGATGGCATATTTCACAGATCTAGAACAAATATCCAAAAATTTATATGGAACCAAAAAAGACCCCAAATAAGCCACGGCAATCCTGAGAAAGAAGAACAAAGTTGGAGGGATCACAATACTGGATATCAAGCTATACTACAAAGCCATTGTAATCAAAACAGCTTGGTACTGGCACAAGAAGAGACATATAGATCAATGGAACAGAACAGAGAACCCAAAAACTGAACCAAACCTTTACACTCAATTAATATTTGACAAAGAAGGCAAGAGCACACAATGGAGTAAAGACAGTCTCTTCAACAAATGGTGCTGGGAAAATCAGACAGGTACATGCAAAAAAAAAGAAACTAGACCACCAACTTATACCATGCACAAGAATAAACTCAAAATGGAAAAAAAAACTTAAACGTAAGTCAGAAACCACAAAAACCCTAGAAGAAAACATAGGCAGCAAAATATAAGATATCTCACATAGAAGAATTTTCACAGATACATCTCCTAGGGCAAGAGAAACAAAGGAAAAAATAAACAAACGGGATTACATCAAAATAAAAAGCTTCTGGACAGCAAAGGAAACCAGCATCAAAATGAAAAGGGAACCCACTGTATAGGAAAACATATTTGCCAATGATACATCTGATAAGGGGTTAATTTCCAAAATATATAAAGTATCATACAACTCAACAAAAGGAAGACAAATAATCCAATTTAAAATGGGAAGAGGACCTGAATAGACACTTCTCCAAAGAGAACATACTAATGGCCAAGAGCCATGTGAAAAAATACTCAACGTCACTAATCATCAGAGAGATGCAAGTTAAAACAATAACGAGGTACATCTCACACCTACCAGAATGGCTACCCCATTAATAATTCATTCAACAAACAAGTACTGGTGAGGATGTGGAGAAAAAGGAACCCTAGTACAATGCTGGTGGGCATGCAGACTGGTGCAGCCTCTACAGAAACAGTATGCAGTTTCCTCAAAAAATTAAAAATGAAACTGCTATTTGAGCCAGTGATCCCACTTCTAGGAATATATCCAAAGAATCCCGAAACACCAATCGGGAAAGATATATGCACCCCTATGTTCATAGCAGTGTTATTTACAATAGCCAGTATCTGGAAACAGCCCAAGTGCCCATTAGTAGATGAATGAATAGAAAAACTGTGGTACATTTACACAATGGAATACTACGCAGCTGTAAAAAGGAGCTTTTACCTTTTGCGATAGTACAGATGGATCTGGGATTATAATGCTAAGCAAAATAAGCCAGTAAGGGAAAGACAAACACCATTTCTCACTTACATGTTGAATCTAATGAACAAAATTAATTGACGAACAAAATAGTACCAGCGTAATGGATACATGGTACAGTCTGACAGGTGTCAGAGGGGAGGTGGGTGAGGCGAACAGGACGAAAGAAGGTGAAAGGATTAGCCAAAGAACATATATGCATAGCCCAGGGACACAGACCACAGTGTGGTTAGAGCCAGAGGGAGGGGAGGGTGGGGTCTGGGTGATGGGGAGCAAAGAGAGGAAAATGGGGGACATCTGTAATTATGTCCACAATAAAAATTTAAAAAATAAAACAATTAGTAATTTCAGTCCTTTTCTGAAGTCTACAGAGGTTCCCAAAGTCTTAGTTAATTCCCAAAAGGGTCTCAACATCCAATCTGCTCTACCTTAGGACCTGACCTTGATTTCTACTTTTTATATGCCTTATGATTCAAAATATAGCTCCTCTGAAACACAAAACTCTAAATTTTGTGTGTCTGCTTCTGAGAATACAAAGACCAGGCTGACATAAAACCTATGTGCTATCATCTCCAGCTAAACTGCAGATGTAGTCAAACATTATCTGATCCTTCTGGAACTTTTCTGGCTTCCTTGCTTGCTTTTCTCATCTCCCCACTAGAAAGAATGTACCATAAATATCTAGCGGCTCATTTCTATACAGGGTACAAATCTCAGCGTCAGAGATTGCAACTTTAGTCAGCAGGACAGCTTTAAATACATGTAGTCTATTTGCCAATATCTAAGAGAACTCATTGCATTTTTTTAAATCCTCCCCAAGGATTTTTTCCCATTGCTTTTTCAGAGAGAGCAGGAGAGAAACATCGATGTCAAAGAGATACATCGATTGGTTGCCTCCCACACACACCCCAACAGGGGCCGGGGATCAAGCCTGCAACTGAGGCTTGTGCCCTTGACCAGAACTAAACGTAGACTCTTCAGTCTGTGGGCTGATGCTCTAACCACTGAGCCAAATAAGCCAGGGCTTTATTGATTTTTAGACAGAGAGAAAGGGAGAGAAACATCTATCGGTTGCCTCATGTACGTGTCCTGACTGGGGATTCAAACCCTCAACCTGTGTATACGCTCTGACCAAGAATCAAACCCACAACTTTTTTGTGTACAGGATGACACTCCAACCAACTGAGCAGCCAGGGCATTTTTTACAAAAGCATACCGCAACCAAAAGAAAAACTAGGTAGACTGGGCTATCAATGTCAATTCAGCTTTGAAGAACAAAGAAAGGCATTGAGGAAAGGGGCTGGCACACATCACCCAGAATTCAAGATGGGCCTTCCTGCACATCTACAACAGCAACAGAATGGAAATGGCTAAAACAGCCCATGTGAATTGCATTCAGAATATAATTAGGGCCTTGGGAAAAACCAGAGCTAATCATTCACACAGCTATGTCCAAAGAAAATGAAAAAGAACAAGGTGTGAAGAGGAATATAGGGCATTGGTAGGTTCTAGAATGGACAAATTGTACTACCCAAATGTTTTGGAACATACCACTTTTTAAAATGAATCTTACTCTATAGCTCCACAGAGTCAACAGTGAGATAGGGCAACCGATAAAACAACAAACAAAACTTAAAACTGTCTGGAATAAAATTCAATTATGCTTAAGCAGAAATAGGACTCACCCTGGCCGGGCAGCTCAATTGGTTAGAACACTGTCCCAATATACCAAGGTTGCGGGTACAATACAAGTAGCAACCAATGAATGCATAAGTGGAACAACAAATTGATATTTCTCTCTCCCTTCCTTTCTCTCTAAAAATCAGTAATTTTTTTTTAAAAAGTTAAAAAAAGACAGAAATAGAACTCTTCATTACCATAGCTCACCCCCAGCAATAAATCAGGTTCAGTGCCTTTGATTTATGTGTATACCCATCTTTTGGGCAAACTGACCTATGATGTCGTCATTTATTCCAGTGCTCTAATATATATCATAAATGATAAGACTGGGGGAAACAAAAGCTAGATGCTCGAGGGTCAAATTGGGCTGACACTCACCACAAACTTCTCACCATTCTGCTCCACATGTTTGTATGTGGGGACCGATATGGGCACTGCTTGCTTTTCTGTGTAATCATAAAATGATTGTCCCAACGAGTCGTCACTGGGATCTAGGTTATCTGCCTCATGAGGAGGTACAGATAACACTGTCAAGATCAATTCCTTCTCTCCTGCTCGGATCAGGTCCACCACCTGCTTGTGTGTCGCCCCCTCAACATTCACGCCGTTCCTAAGGGGAAAAAGGGAAAAAGACAATCCCATAAACCAGAAGGGTCCAAACACCTTGTATCTCCACCCTCCTGCCCCCAACTCCAGTGTCACACAGAATGAACCATAAAATCAAGATTAATTTGGTTCCAGAAAAGCTGTTTATGTTCTTACAGATCATAATGTAAAAAAGTGTTTGTGAACTTATGGCAGGGGGGAAGAATGGAAACGGATGAGAGAACCTACCCTTCCTCTATGTTAGAATCACACACACAGCTTCAGGAAAACAAATGGGAAGGAGAGTGAAGCTGAGGAGAAAACAAAGCTTTCAAAGCTGAAGAGTCCAACACCCTGGTCCTAACTAATGTATACGATACAAAGCAGTTTTTACATAACCTGCCGTTTGAACTGTACTTGGTCCTTTTTAAATCTCCTAGAAATGCTGTTAAAAGGAATTTTCCACAAAGTGCATTTCTTTGATTTGTAAAGACTCAGAAAGTATGACTTAAGATAATTCTTTTACATCTATCTCTGATTTCCCCCCACATCTTCAAATTAGTCAATTTCCCTTTATGACAAATTTCATTACGTTGGGACTTAAATGGTATATATCTTCATACACACTAGTTTCTTCCATCAATCAGTTTTTTAAAAGGCAATGAGACAGCCTCTCTAAAATTAAATGATCTGATCCGACTTCCTTTGCTCTCCCAATCACTTCCAATCTCTTAGAATTCTATCCACTATTTTTCTGCTCTGTGCTTTCTCACTTAAAGCCCTGTGTTTGAGTTCACACTAAAAAATACATATTTAAGGCTACACAGTAAATCAATGTACTTGTTCTCCTTCCTATTTCACAGTTTTAAAAGGCTGAAACTAGGAAAAGTACAAGGTTTGAAAGAACAATAATTTCGTCAAGAAAGATGCTGAATCTTACAAAACTCACTCAGCAAACCGAACTACCTTCCCAAAATGCTGACCCAGCTTGCTGTCTCAGCAAAAACCATTAGGAAGCTAGCTGGCTGACCCAGAGGTTCCCTCCATGGCCATCCCAAGAGAGTTCAGAAATACATACCTGGCCTTCTTTCAGTCAGCTTAATAAAATTTTATCTACCCTTTAAACTCTTTTTCAGTCCTGTTCCAAACCATTTAGTTTTTCCTTCTTGAAAATGATGCTAAGTTTAGTAATAAGCCTTCTACAAACTTTTCGATCACTGGAATTGCCTCTGTCAGAGTCTGGTATCTGAAACATCCATTTATATAAACAGAACAGGCAGAAGATCACCCAGCTAGCCTCCTTCCTTATTTTGGGTTTAACAATCTAGTTAGTAAATTCAGCACTCTTAACAGTTCACAACCAAAATAACTTACACACACAAACACACACATCAGTAATTTTACAATTGGGTAGCTCTAGAAGAAAAAAGAGCCCCTTCCACTGATGGAAATTTGGGCTTTTAAAATTCAGATCAGATTGGATTAATTATCAGGTAACAGTGGTCAACCCTGATCATAGAGCAGGATGATAAAATAAAAAGAAAATGGGCTTTGGAGCTGGATCTACAAATCCCAACTCTGCCTTTTAGTATTAGAATTGGTCTTGACCAAGTTACTTAACCTTTTTCAGTGTTGCTTTCTACATCTGTAAACTGGGGACAATAGTAAGTCCCTAACAGGGTTGTTATGGGGATGAACGTAATAAAATGTAATTTGCCTGAACACTCACATCAGAAAGTATAAAAAGGAAAGAAGTACTATGTACCTGTTGATTATGAAGAGATTTTGGTTAAAGAAGAAATGGAAACCTAAAGTTGAGGACTGGCAAAAGATTTCATTTAAATCTTTGGCCTTAGTAGTAGTTCTGAGACAATGTTTTGCTGGGAGAATAAAACTAAAAAAGCCAAAGTTGGAAATCAACATAGAGAACTTTATCTAACCCTAGGAAGCTTATCTAGCTCACAATACCCTTGTTAATTTTTTAAAAACAAAGTGGGGAACACTAACACTTTGAGATGGAACAAAATAGCTTGGATAATAAAACAAGATTTTTATGTTAATACAATTTTATGAGGTGCATATTTGTGAAAAAAGTTTAAGAGCTGATGCTCAAATCTTACTTTTCAGCTCCCTATATATTTCCCGTTAAAGGATTTTTAATCTGAGGTGCTCTGTCGATAGGCTTGGGGGTCAGTGAACACCTACAAAATTTGTACGTAAATTGTATTTGTGTGCATATATGTATTTTTTCCCTAGGGAGAGGGTCCACAGCTTCTATCAGCTTCAAAAAGGAGTATGTAATCTCTAGAAAAGTTTAAAACTATTGCTTCCAATGTACCTCCACCCATTCAGTTTTCAAGTTAGAACACATTACTCCTTGGGTCACTCACAGAAACAAGCCCCAAAAATCATCAGAGAAACTTAAATGAAGCTCACTCCAAGAGCAGGCAGGGAGTAAGGAAGCTTGCTTAGATTGCACTTTATTATCAGTAAGACCACGCTTCAAATTGGCTATCACCTCAAAAACCTCTTAAAAAGGAGGGAAAAAAAAGGAAAGAACTACCACTATCACATTCTAAACACACTTGCTAGTATCTATTTGGTTCAACTAAAGGACTGCTGTACATGCCGCGATTTAATATAAAGCTGGAAATTTTTTTTTAATCCTCACTCGAGGATATTTTTTCTACTGCTTTTCAGAGAGAGAGAGACAGAGACAGACATCGATTGGCTGCCTCCCGCATGTACCCCAACCTCCGCCTGGGACTGAGCCTGCGACGGAGCTGCGTGCCCTTGGCCGGAATCAGACCCGGAAGCTTTCATTCTGAGGCCCGATGCTCTAAGCACGGAGCCAAACCAGCCAGGGCAAAGCTGGAAATTCCTTCATTCTTCAGAGAACGAAATGAAGTCAGTAAAAACCCCAGGATGTCTGATTTCATAAAGGGCCCTCCCTTCTCAAGAATTAAGAGCCTTCACAGTCATAAAAATGTTTATATGACATCCTTTTTCCACAAGAATGCTACCATAGCAAGCTCAAACTAGGCGTGACCCAATCTGAACAACTCTGAAGACAAATGAATGCAAACTAGAAATTCTGCAGTAAAGGGAATTTTTAGCAGCATAGACTTCTGGTTTAAAGCATGGGTTTTGGAGTCAAACAGACTTGGGTTTAAATACCTAGTGTACCATTTAACAGATAAGACATTATTCAATCTCACTAAGCCTCAATTTCCTAATCCATAAAATGGGGCTAATAATACCTATAGCTATCAGAGTTGTGAGAACTAAAATGCAATAAAAGCTCTACAACATGTTAACCACTCCATAAATAGTAGCTATTCATGTGATAATATTTGTATCAGTCATACAAGCAAGTTAGTAGTATTTCGGCTTCCTAATAATACAAACTACCAATTTCCCTTGCCTTTCTTCTGTCTTTGCAACATAATCTAGTTGAAATTCACTTGAAAATAAGTCACTGAGTTTTCAACCAATAATAACGGGATCACAAGATAGTCAACTTCATATGACCACTACATCAGAGAACCACTAAGTCCTATACCACATAAAAGTAGCTACTGGCCAGTAGGTTCTACTCATCTATGCTTCTTCCACAATGAAAGGCAATAGCTTAAACATACAATCACAAATTTTTCAACAGATATGTGATTAAACAAATACAGCAAAATGTTAATTATAAAATAGGTGGTAGGTATGCAAATATTCACCATGCAATTCCTTCCAAGTTTCCGGTATACTTGAATTTTTCACAATAAAATGTGGGGAGGGGGAGAAGGCAACCAAAAAACTTCAACAAAATTTTATTTTCTTAGGCAACTAGATGATACTCAATTTACTGTGTCTTGAGCACTGTAAATATACACTTGACAATTTTAATAAAATTCTCATTTTTTTTTATCCTCACCTAAGGTTATGTTTTTATTGATTTTAAAGAGAGGGGAGACAAACGAGAATGTGAGAGAAAGAGAGAGAGAGAGAGAGACAGACAGACAGACAGACAGACAGACAAACATCGACTGGCTGCTTCCCACTCACACCCGACTGGGGATCGAACCTGCAACCTTTTTTGTTTTTTTGGTGTATGGGATGATGCTCCAACCAACCAAGCCATCTGGATAGGGCGAAATTCTCATTTTTTACATAAGACCAAAATTTGGCCCCACCGGAAAGGCCTTCAGCTAGCTAATGGGAGTGGCTTTAAGGCTTTTATTCAACTAAAGTTAGCCAGCTGAGGAAATTGCAAAGCTAATATAAACACTCCCAGAAACAGGAAAAAGCTCTAAATAGTCAGGATTTGTTTTTGTGTAGTGCTGGTACAGGAAGCTATATATAATGAAACTAGATATGGATGGAAATATGACAGAGACAATCACTATAGGTACCACATGAAGAAGCCATGCTAAGTGGTAAGCAAAATATTATTTTGACCCCGTGACAGTCAAGAAATTAACTAAAGGGTAATTAGTCCCCCAGAAACAGTCAGTAAAAAATAGGCAATGAATTACTATAACTGCAAACAATAAATTATGCTTTTCAATTCTGCAGATTAAAACACAATGGCTACCTGTCCACAAGAACTGTTCAAATAAAAAAGAGTGACAAAGCCAAGTTTTGCTAAGGATATGTAAAACTGGAATTCTCATACATTGCTGATGGGAGCATAAAGCAAAAGTAACCTGGCAGTTTCTTATAATGTTCAATATACATTTATTCTATGACCCAACAATTCCACGCCTAAGTATTTACCCCAGAGAAATGAAAACATGTTCACACAAACAACTGTAGTTGAATGTTCAGTGAAGCTTTAGTCATAATAGTCCAAAACTGAAAACAGCCAAATGTCTATCAAAAGGTGAACACATAAACAAACTGTGGCATATTCATTTAATGGAGTATTACTCAGCAATAAAAAGGGCCAAACTACCAGTATTGACAACATAGATGAATCTCAAAAATACACTGAACAGAAGAAGTGAGACAGAAAAGAGTCTGATTGATTTGATT